GAGTGAGTGAGTGAGGAGTGAGTGAGTGAGTGAGTGAGTGAGTGAGTGAGTGAGTGAGGAGTGAGTGAGCTGTGTACCTCTGTCTCACACTCTACAACAATCTCATTGCCATCAAGTCGGTGGCAGTTCATGGTGACCCTGTAGAGCAGGAAAGAACTGCTCCTGTAAGTTTCCGTGACTGTAACTCTTAAAGGGAGTAGAAAACCCCGTCTTTCATCAGTCGGTGGTTTTGAACTGTTGACCTTGCAGTTAGCAGTCCAACATGTAACCACTATGCCACCAGGGCTCCTCTCCAGGACTCTAAAGAAGCATTTAAAAAAGAATGAGTAACCCGCTAATCTAGATCTATGAACTAAACTACCTTATCCCCTTGTGAAGAACTGATATGTAAAACATTCACTCAACATTTTATGAATTAACTTGAAAATGCTTTCTTTTTTTGAAGAAAAAGCTAAGTAATTTTTAAACAAATTCCAATATGAAAGAAGAGTTAGTTCTGTTATGTCTACCAGAGAGGTTGTGTTACCTGCAGATACTGTGAAATCATTCAGAGACATGACTGGAGGTCTTGCAAAAGATCTTGTCCATTTTTCTTATTTTATAAATGAGAGGCATTAAGTCCATGAAAAAGGAAGGGTGAACTCTATGTCAGAGACGAGGCTTTTTATTTCACTTCCTGATCTTCACTTCAAATCCCACCCTTATTTTCTGCTGTGCTGTTGATCTTGTAGGGTTCTCTAGAGGTTGTTTAAAAGCAATACTATATCCATTTATACCCATTCAAAAACACATAAAACTTTTACTTAAAATACAGTTGTCTTTGTGGCAACACTGAAGACAATATTGGGTTAATGTTTATTTTGTTACTGGTAGTCTAGCCACTTATTTAAATGGAAGAGTTTGATGGGGAAAACATCAATTAGAATAGTTTTTAAATATAGGTGTGGCATTCATTTCACAAAAATATGAATGCTTTCAACCAAGTCTTAAAACTTCACACTTTGGAAGACGAATTCATTGTTTCTCACTCACTCAAGCAAAGTAACAGAACACAGAGCGCTGGCTAGAGAGCTGGCTAGAGAGCAATAGCATTACTTAGAGCCAGACAAAACTCACGAAGGCTACGGGGGATCACACGGTCTACATGTGATGGGGCATCCTCCCTTGCCATAGGTCACCATTGCAGCAGGACTCTTAAAGACTGGGGAGAGGAGAGAAAGGAGGACAACAGCGAGGCAGGAGGAGGAAGTGGGGAGGAGCGAAGAACATACTGGCTTTAGTGCTAATCTTGCCCCGTTCCTCACCAGCAAGGTGACTTCGGGCAAGTTGTTTCCCTTGCCCGGGTCTCCTTTCCTCATCTGTCAAATGAAATTATTTGAAGAGATAGTCCATGATGTGCATCATAACATGATCCTAAATTTCTGATGGAATTCGTTGGAAACGCCACAGGATTCCTATCCTATACAATATATTTGATGCAGTAGCAAAAGATTAATTTAAAATGTGACTTGGTTTCCTGCAAATGCTTATATCAAATTTTTACAAAGCTCTTTTGTGACTTGGGACACAAATGTACAATGTACAATGTAGTCACTTGGAGTCACTCTGGCGGGCCACAGAGCAGCACACAAAATTTCAAACACGTGCCCTCAAAGTCACAATAAATATCCACATGGACACGTTACAGTGTGGAAAATATTATCCCACAATTACATACTGAATTCTATTATTTGCCAAGGCCTGGACTGTCTTCTGGGAAAATAGGAAACGGGGTGGGGGGGGGTGGGGGGAGAATATGGCATGATCCAGATCCAAGAGGAATTCGTCAACAGCCAATGAAATGAGAGGGGTAAACAACCATGGTAGAATGCTGCAAGCATTACATAAGAGGCTTTTCCAAAGTTCAAGACAAGAGTCTTCACACAGCACAAGGCAGGTGGGTGGTTTTTCCTCTATAATAGGCTAATCTCGGAGCAGCCCTCTGTAAATCTAATGTGTGGTACATCACATTAATCCACGGTAAATGCACACATACAGCTACGTATTTATGACTACTTATGTATGCAAGACAGAGCATATTGGGACCAAATTAAGCTGCTAGCCATGATGGAGAAAGATGAGGCTCTGTGCACTCCTAAAAATGCACAGTATGGAAAACCCAAAGGGGCAGTCTGCTCTGTGCTGTGGGGTCGCTATGAGTCAGAACAGACTCAGTGGTGGAGGGTTTGGTTTTCTCTATATGATGATAAGTCTAAAAGTTCCGATTCTCACATGCACTGCTTTATTCCAAACAAAACATATTTGAACACGTCTCGGCAACCAGCGGACGGCTGCAGACACGTTCTTTCATTAACATGTTTGTCTTCATATCATTAAGTTTTTTAAAGGAAAACCATCTCATCAAGAGCGGTTTTCAAAAAGACCAGAAATCCAAAGTTGTGTGTGACATCAAAACTTTAAGCATTGGCTGAAAACAAAAACTGCACATCATCATTTCCTTGCCTGTCATCTGTGTGTAATTCAGTGGAAAACTTAAGACTAATGAATGGTTAAAACAATGCTCTTTTCTACACAGCCAGAGGAAGGTTCAAGGAGGTTTGTGAGCGTCCAAATGGCTCCTGCCAAGAATTTTGCATCAAAACAGAAATCCTCGTTGGCAAATGTTTAGATGATCGAGCGTGCTGTGTGCCTCTGTTGGAGCACCCGACATATGAGCTCACCGAGAGCACTGAGACAACCAAGATCCCTGGAATCACGAAGAGAGCAGCACGCCAGAACTGAAGACCTTCTGTTTCCTCTCCACCTCTCTCTGTGCATCTCTGTGTATCTCTTTCTCTCTATCTCTCTCTCCGTGCATCTCTTTCTCTGGATTCTTAATATGAGTTCTCAATAAATAATAAGGAAAACCCAGCAAACACAAAACCTATCTTTAAAATACTTGACTTGGTCTCCATGATGCAGTGGGTTGCAAGTTGGGATGCTAACCATATGGTCAGTAGTTCAAACACACCAGGAGCTCTGTGGGAAAAAGATGAGGTTCTCTGCTCCATTGAATCTATGCAGGCTCAGAATCCCAAAGGGACCCTTCTACTCAGTCCTACAGGCTCACTATGAATTAGAATCCACTCTGGCAATGGTTGGCTGACTGGTGGTTTGGTCCTCGGGACATCCTGTCTTATTGAAAATGACCTCTTTTTATGCCTGACAATGCATCGCCTCCACCTTCACCTGGAGAGATTGCCCCCCTTTCTCATTCCATAAAACAACAGATTTGTGGAGTCTCCCTTACCGATAAAGGAATAATAGCGCAAAGAAAAGTGAAAAAAGCCAGTTTCTCTAAATTAATCAAATTCCACAGTACAGAATGAACAGAGGCGTGCATAGATAAAAGGAACCCTCCCACACACCCTACGGAAAGCTAGTGCTCTGGGCCTGGGAGCTGGCTCTGTCATGTACGCCTGCTGACATCCATGGGATTTCCCGAGTTTGCACCTTTCTCTGGGCCTGGGATTCGGCTTCTCTTCCTGTGCTGTAGTGTCTTATTGCTGCTGTAGCAAATTACCACAAACGTTAAAAATGCAAATGTGCTACTTTACAGGTCCATAGGCTGAAAGTCTGACACATCTCTCCCGGGGACGACCTCAAGGTATTGACGGGGCTGAGGTCCCTTGGGAGTTTCTAAGGAATAGTCCATCTCCTTGCTTCTTCGAAAGGTCACTCATATTTCTTGGCTCATGACTTCCTTCCTCTATTGTTAAAGTCAGCAATAGTGGATTGAAGATTTATCATATTACATCACTCCAAACTCCCTTTTTTCTCCCTTTTTCATATGTTCAGGCCCATTTTTATACTGGCCCGTCTTGCACAGTCCAGGAAAATCTCCGTCTGTTCAGATCAGCTGATAGTTCCTCAATTTCGTTTGCCCTATTAGGTTAAATAGGCGGTTTACAGGGCTCTATTTAGTGTGGGAGGCTAGTGTGGGGGACTAATGTGGGAGACGTTAGTGTGGAGGACTCTTTGGCCCGAAGGGGACCACTGGTCGCCCTCCAAAATGGCAGGCCAAAACCAAAAGACAAAGGCGTGTGTACGGTACACACACACACACTCACACACACAGGCATGCACGCATACACCAGTGAGTTAAAAGTAAAATTATGAAATACGAAAGTGATTTTTGTGAAACATTTTTAAACAATGATAAGATTTGAGAAAATGAAACAGAAGTTTGCCAGAGCAGGAGGGAGAGCCTGTGGACGCGCATGCTAGTGAGCGCGCTGAGAGTGGATCAGGGCTCCAACCAGCGGGCGCAGACCCGCATGCGCACATGTGTTTCCAACCGGTTGCCCTAACCCAGTGGTTCTCAACCTTCCACCTGCCGCGACCCTTTAATAGAGTTCCTAATGTTGTGATGACCCCTAACCATACAATTATTTTCGTTGCAATTTTGCTACGGTTATGAATCCAGAGACCCCAGTGAAAGGGTCGTTTAACCCACTAAAGGGTCGCGACCCACAGGTTGAGAACCACTACCCTAACAGGACCTTCCCGTTGACCTCCCAAGTAGCTATGGAAAAAATAAGTCCCCACTCGGTCCCAGTGGAAGGGGACAGGGCTCCTAATGGAGGTGCCAAGGCACAGGTACACATCGAAGAATCCCCAACCGGTTGCCCTAATGGCTTCCTGGTCAATCTCCCAAGTGGTGGCGAGGAAAATGATTCAGCCGCACTTGGTGCGGGCCTAGTCACCTTTTGCAGCAGAGGTATCCTGGGGTCCCAGGCGAGGCCAACAGGGATCCTGGGCTGCCCCCTGCCGCCCCAGGCTCTTCTCTCTCCCATCTGTCTCTTTGTCTCTCTCTGTCCCCCGCCCCCGCCCCCCACATGTGAACCCATGCCTACCTCGGGGGTGAGGAGGGGGAGAGAGAGATACAGAGAGATTGACAGACACTGGGCGGGGAGAGGGGCCACCCCGGGATGCGCAGACAGACAACCTTGCGTGTTGACTGCCCTCTGCCGCGATCCCTCTGGTTCCCAGGACAGGACCTCCCTGCCTTCTCTGGGACTGGAGAGGTGGTCCTGGGCCAGTGGCGGGAGTCTGTCCTGATGCTGAGAATGACCTCATCGACTTTGCTCCTCCCTGCACACTCCTGGTTCAAGGCCCAAGGCGACCACTGGAGGATTGGTCGTGGCAGGGAAGCACAGGGAGGAAGCCGCGAGGCCGCCATCCAAGAGGACTGCACGTGGGAGGAAGGTTCCACCTGCTCCCCCCTTGCTTGGAATACCGACCTGGTGACATGAGAACCAGAGAGTGAGACAAACCCTTGTGTCCAGGGGCTGACTTTCAATAGCATGCAGGGAGGGAGCTACTGAGCTCAGTAGGAAACCCTGACCAAGAAGCAGGGCCTCTACCAATGGTTTAGCACCAGGCTCCCCACCAACATGTGGTGGTGCATGACAGGCAGGTGAAGGGGCGGCCATTTTGCTGGTCCTAGCAGGTGAGCAGATTAGAGCTGAGCACATTACAGCTGCAATCCACCACCACTTCTTGGGCATACTCAATTTTGTGGGTATACACATCAGTGGGAAGTTAGGACAAGGTGAATTTCAGCTACCTACGACTAAGGAACTGTGTGGTTCGTAACAAACTCTGGATAGCCTTGAGAAGAATGGGCATTACAGAACACTCCATGGAACCTGTCCATGAATCAAGAGGCTTTTGTGCACACAGAACAAGGAAATACTGAACACTTTAAAATCAGGAAAGTATGTGACAGGATTTTTTTAAAATCATTTTATTGGGGGTTCTTACACCTCTAATCACAACCCATATACCCATCCATTGTGTCAAGCACATCTGTGCATATGTTGCCATCATCACTTTCAAAATTTTTTCTTTCTACTTGAACCCTTGGTATGAGCTTCTCATTTCTCCCTTCCTCACCCTCCCTCCCTCCCTCGGATTTCCATCTTTTAGATTTCACCAAATTGAATTCCATAATGGCTGTACATACCTACAAGTCTACCAGCAATGGTCCCATGTTCAGATGTCACACCGCCCCTCCAACACTTGTTACTTTCTGATTTTGTGCATTGCTAAAATTCTGGCTATCTTTGAGGGTGTTAAGTTGTCTCAAAGTTGTTCTAATTTGCATTTCTCTGAAGGCTAATCATCAGGAACATTTTCTCATATATTTATTGTGAATTCAGGGTTCTGTCCTTATGAAATTTATGTTCAGGTGCTTTACAACACCATGATACCCTCCTAAAACACAAAGGAGGGAGGCAGTCCCACTGTTCCTTGGTGCTTCTCTTGGAAGTGCATCACCCATTAAATACAGAAATTGTCTTGCCCCATACCATGGGACATAAAACCTACCTGGGAAAGAAACAGCTTGGATATATATATATATAAACCATCACATTAAAATATACTCTTAAATTTTTTATTTAATAAATATAGATGCTCTTATGTTATATTAATATGCACTTCCTATGTTCTGTAATTCATTTTCAGTCGGTTGTGTAATTACTGGAGTATGTTTGATTGATTTGATTACCTAGTAATCTTTAGGAATATGTGCTGTTTTGTTCAAAGCTAGACATCTTTACCTCTCTGTGTGCGGTGTGTACATGTGTGCACAGTGAGGCAAGAAGAAGAAGCAATTCCTCAAATTAAATACCTTTATCCACCCCTCTAGCATTAATTATTAACCCATCAATAAATAGCTAATCAATAATATCTTTTTGTGTTATCCTTTGTTTATTCCTTTTCTTCCCCTCCCTGTCTATATCTCCTCTTTCCTTGCCCTCCTATTTATCTGCCTGGGACAATTTTTTTTTTTAACATTTTATTAGGGGCTCATACAACTGTTATCCCAATCCATACACACATCAATTGTGTAAAGCGCATTTGCACATCGTT